GTGGGACTCGACCCCGGGACTCCAGGACCATGACCCGAGCCGAAGGCAGTTGCTTAACCAACTGAGCCACCCAGGCGCCCCACGGCAACCCTATTTTAAATTGCAATGCTTCCTTTCTACTGGCCTTCCCAATCCTGGCATGTGTAAGGTTTGCTGTCTTCAATTCCAGGAGGCCAGGGATTTCCACTGTGTCCTTTGTACTTTAAAAAATATCTAGCACATGGTAGGCATACATGTACTGATGTGAGTAAACTGAATCAATGTTTTCATGTCAACATACAGTAGTATTCTCCTTGGTTGAGATATACTTGCTATTGAAGAGAGAGAAAATATCTTCTTGATATACTTGGTATCTCTGGGACCAGAAGTTTAGTACAAAATGCTTTTCATATTTTCAGTGGATGCAAACATTCTGAAAATGCAAAATACTTAAATATGTTAAGTGTGTTACTGTTATGGAAGATAGTGTGAATAAACTCAAATGAATTCCAAAGAAATAACAGTCATAATACTCCTTTATTAGTACCAGCTTTTTAACTAAATTGGTTTTTGCCAGAGCTAAACAATTTAATATAAAAAAATGCCTTTTTTGTTCATACAGTATTTATAAAAAAGTACACAGTGGTTAGTTTTGCAACAATTTGCTCTTAGCCAGATACCATATAAATGAACGTAACAAATGAGATAAGACCAGTATAAATAAGTTTTTGTAGTATTTACACTTATACAGAAACTAGCCCAAATGGTGTTCTAAGAAATTAAGTTTGCAGTTAAAGTGAAAACTACTGATTCAGCATACTGATGACTTATTTTAATGCTTTTTAAAGTTTGTATTATCTTCTATACTAGTTTTGACTATAATTTTGCATAGAATTACTTATAAAGTATATTTTTGCATTTCACATCACAGTAGGAGCTTTTAGTATAACAGTACAAAAAAACAAAAAACAATCCCCAAAACAAACAACCCACTAGCTCAGAAAAAGGTCAGATCTTCCCAAATCTAGTTTTTCTTAGTATCTGGCTTCTTACTTTTGGGCACAAGGAATACATTGCCATCTCTTGTTTGCTGCAGGGAGTATTCACTAGGAGAGTAAGGTTTTCCATCTTCATCACGGAGCATGCTGAAGACTTCGAGATACAAGGTGCTGAGTTGTTTTTTCAGTAGATGGAGGCTTTTGTCATTCTCCCCTTTTTCTCTAAGCAATTTTTCTTTTTCATCTTTTAAATGATCCAAATCTTGTTCCAGTTCCACTATATTTTCCAGTTTTCTTTTTCTGCAATTCTGAGCAGCCACTTTATTCTTACCCCTCCTGCGTATATCTCGAATTAATGCCAGTTGAGCCTCACTGAACTGCTCCTTGGACATCATTTCATTGAAGTCATCAACAGGGAGGTTAATGATTTTTTCAACAGGGAATGGGATATGGAGAGCTTTTGCCCTTAGCTCATCTCTCGTGAGATGAGCCTCCAAGCGGCTTGAATGTTTGTCTTTTGTGAATGGGGTTTTTCGATGACCAGGGCTCACAGGCAATTCTTTCTTTGGTGTGTTTTCGCGCTGGGCATCCCGCGCTGGAGCGCTGTGCCCTGGAGATGGTGACAGGGGTTGGGCTGTATCTCCGGCAGACTGTACTGGCGGTGTTTTAGGACCATTCTGTTTGACACTTCCAGGAGCACTATCTATCTCTTCCATTTCAGAATCACTGAAGCCAAGTGGCGTGTCTCCATAGACAGAAGATTCCGCCGAGTGTTCTGGTGATGCCATGCCAGGACTTGTGTTGAGTGAAATGCCAGAGTCAGAATCATTGAATTCTGTGCTTTCAGGATGATTTTGGTTGAAGGCTTTACAAAGTGATAGCTCAGAAACATCAATGGGCCCATTAAGAAGTTCAGAGAGTGACTGGCTTAAAGTAGCAGAGGAGGGCATGCTGTTGCTACTACTGGGTTCTGCTATGAAAGCAGAATAAAATTCATCACCAAAATCTGTGTTAATTGTGGCATCTGAATTTAATGAGTTCACGGTCAGCTGGCTGGAATCTTCTGTGGAGAGAATGCTGCTAAAGGAATCCTCGAAAGCACTGAGAAAATGTGGACTGCAGTTACCTACTTCTTTTTCCAACGAGGGCATTGATGGGAAGAAATGGTAACTGTTGTCAATTTCTGTCATTTTGGTTTCTGGACTTGGAACCGTGCTAGTCTCAACCAACTTGTCATTTTGAATATTAAGACACTGTGTGGAAAAGAAATTTTGACTAAATGTAAATCAAGGTTAAATATTTTCATAGCTGATTATATATATCTCATGGCAAATATTTATTTTTAAAGATTTTGAAGTAATCTCTACACCCAATATGGGGCTTGAACTCACAACCCCATGGTCAAGATTCACATGCTCCACTGAATGAGCCAGCCAGGTGCCCCTGATGGCAAATATTTTTAAGAGCTGATAGTCTGTACCTGATGGTAAACTCTTTCCCCACCCCCATTCTTTCCAGGCTCTTCTGTAATTCAGATAATTCCCATTTCTAACAGATATTTAGGTCTAAGCATATGTATTATTTTCACAGTTCCTAGATCAGACTTCTGGCCTACAAAGACCAGATCTTTCCTCAAGACATCCAGTCCATTTAACTAATAAAAGTGAGCACAGGCAGCTCTCGTGACTGAAGTTTATTTATTTAAGTAATCTCTACACCCAACGTGGGGCTCAAACTCAAAACCCCGAAAGAGTCGCATGCTCTTGTGACTGAGCCACCTGGCAGCCCTCTCATGACTAATTTTTTTCTTTTTAAGATTTTATTTATTCATTTGACAGAGACACAGCGAGAGAGGGGAACACAAGCAGGGGGAGTGGGAGAGGGAGAAGCAGACTTCCCGCTGAGCAGGGAGCCCGATGCAGGACTCCATCCCAAGACCCTGGGATCATGACCCGAGCTGAAGGCAGACGCTTAACGACTGAGCCACCCAGGCGCCCCTCTCATGACTAATTTAAAAGCACCCTCCAATCCTTCCATTAAGGAGATGGCATGTAAATAACTGGAGTAATTAATTTAAAGGCACTGAATATAAAAGTATCTTTGGCATTTATTGATACTAGATCTTAGTTACCTGCAATTCTGGAATGGATAACAGCTCCTCCCAAACTTGCTCGATGTCCTGCTGCATATTGTCTAGATCAGCAATGACTGACTGAACGACGAGAGTTTGAGGTGACTGAGCCTGATTAGGAGCAATGAAGACTGGATTCTCGATTTGGCTGGGAATATCAGGAACAAGTGACTGAAACGCAGCTGAAGAAACCTAAAATTGACAGAGCATTTCTCTACATGAGCCTGCCAGCAACAGTGGGGAAGTACACTCCCAGGCACCATCACACCACCTTAAACTGGAACTGGCTAACAGTTCTGTATTTCTCTAGTTATAACCACTTATAACCCCTAGTTCTATATAATGAAACAAATCTTTTTTTCCCCTGCCCAACTGACTCCAAATTGACTCATTTACTAGCTTAATTGTTCTATCCCTTGCATTTGAAGGTGAATTTCAAAATAAGTAACAATTTTTAGGATTTAATTTGTATCTCTTGGTAAAAATACCTATTATAGTGCTTCAAACACAATAAATTTAAAATTGTTAATTGAGCAAGTCTTTTTATTACCCAGCTTGCTTCTCACTCACCAAAATTTTTTTTTTTTAATTTTACTTATTTATTTGACAGACACAGCGAGAGAGGGAACACAAGCAGAGGGTGTGGGAGAGGGAGAAGCAGGCTTCCCACCGAGCAGGGAGCCCGATGCAGGGCTCGATCCCAGGACCTGGGATCATGACCCGAGCTGAAGGCAGACATGCTTAACGACTGAGCCACCCAGGCCCCCCCCACCCCAATTTATTTCTTTTTTTTTTTTAAAGATTTTATTTATTTATTTGAGACAGAGAGCACATGAGAGGGGGGAGGGTCAGAGGGAGAAGTAGGCTCCCTGCCAAGCAGGGAGCCCGATGCGGGACTCGATCCCGGGACTCCAGGATCATGACCTGAGCTGAAGGCAGTCGCTTAACCAACTGAGCCACCAGGCGCCCCACCCCAATTTATTTCTAAGTACCTATAACCAATGAGTTATTTGTTTCCATGGTTATGCAGATCCATGCTTCTGAGTATGCAGGGATAAGTGGTTTTGGTTTTGTATTGTGTAAGGGTTTTTTTTTTTTTTTTTTTAAAGATTTTATTTATTTATTTGAGACAGTATTTATTTATTTGAGACAGAGAGCACATGAGAGGGGGGAGGGTCAGAGGGAGAAGTAGGCTCCCTGCCAAGCAGGGAGCCCGATGCGGGACTCGATCCCGGGACTCCAGGATCATGAGCTGAGCCGAAGGCAGTCGCTTAACCAACTGAGCCACCCAGGCGCCCCAGGGTCTTTTTTTTTTTTAATTGTAAAGTTATCTACAGGCTAAGGTTTCTTTGACAAAATTTCCTAAAATATTTTTTTAATAGAGACACACTTATAGGATATATTAGATATAGCTGGGGAGTTTCACTGTTAGCCAAATGTTGTACCTCATTGTCATCTACAAACGGGAATGTCTCTGCCAAAAGCTGCATGCAGTCATCAAAGTACAAAGCATCTGGTTTGGGAATGTGGGCAACCTAGATAAAAGGAAAGACAGAAAAGAAAAAGATTGTTCAGTGTCATACAAGGTTTATCATTTAGTTAATCAAACATTTATCTTCTTTCAGAAATCAGTTTAGTGTAGTATAGAGCACAGAATCAAACAAACCAGACTATCTGGGTTCCGTTCTTGGCTTCCCCAATTTCTTGAGTGCTCTGGGCAAGTTACTGAGTCTCTGAGCTTCAACTGCTTATCTGTGAACAAAACACTAGTAATCTGTACTACTAGTTTTATTGCTGCAAGATCCTTACGTAATGTTTCCACAGCTTACAAAGCACTGTCATGTAACTTATGCCCTTTGCAATCCTTACAACTCTGTGAGGTAAGTTAGTCAGGTGTTGAACTCATCAGGAGGTTGGGAAGTTGACTTGATATGGTAATGAAGACATAGTAAAAGGCAAAGCTGGAACTCAAATCCAGATGTTTTAACTCTTGGGCCAGTATTTGTTCCTTAAACCCTGACACCTTCCCAAGAACTGAGTTTTCTGTACCTGGGAGTAGTTGGCAGATCCACTGGTTTCTGATGGGATGTGCTGGGCTGGCTGAATTGGGAGGAATTCACCTGTTTCTTCATCTAGTTGTAATTGAGCAAAAAAGGCTTTCTCTTGCTCCTTTTGGAGTTGTTCTTGTCTTTCCTTTTCAAGTTTTTTCTGTTTTTCCAGTTCATGCTCCTTCCGTCGTTGACTGAAGTCAAATACTTCTCGACTTACCCCAAGATCTATATCTTGCCTCCAAAGTATGTCAATCAAATCCATGTCCTGTGTTTTAAAAAAAAAAAAAGGAAAGAGACCACGGTTAAGATGGTTTTTTAAATGGCAGATATCCTATAATTTACATTATGCCATTGTTGATGGTCGGGGGTAGGGAGATGACAATCTGAATGGTAACACAGATCCAGTGTTCTGGAAGGGCATAGTTAATTCCATTCAATGAATCTATTCATTAAAAGAAACAACAGCCTACAAACACAGCCATCCATTCTAATCACTTATTACTTGGATTATTAACAACTGGGTGATAGTAGAGGTCACTAAAGAGCAAAGTAACATGCTGCACATTAAAGCTCTTGAATTAAAAGAAATCCCACACTTGTTTAATGGAATATAGAAATTAGAGCAAGCACCCCAAGCCACTGGTTTCTTATGACAAATGGAGTTTGGAAAACATAATCAAATATGTGGAATTTTTTCTAAACCTCAGCAAATATCCATTTTACAGAGGGGGAGAACCCTTGTTAAATGTCAATCTAGCCATTGTGAAATATCACCATTCTTTTGGTATTTCCTACACTGAATTACCTTCCCCCATCATTTCTTGCTATTCTTGTCCCCGTGGCTCATTTATTGAAACAATTTCCTCTTGACTTGAGTTTTAGCTCCTGAGGCATGAACAAATCCGTAAAGAACAGTCCTAATCTTGTGACCCAGGGATGCAGCAAGAGGCTGCCTTGAGAAAGAGGTAGTGCTCACTAGTTTCACTTCTGAGAAATCACAAATAACCCTCTTAAAAAAACGCACAAAATTAAAAACAATGAAACAAAAGACATGGCTCCAGGGAAGGAAGGAAGTTACTAAAAGTTTATTATTTCTATTTTTTTTTGATAATGTCTGATTCATCTAGTTTTCTTCCCCCCCGCCTTTTTTTTTTTAAGATTTTATCTATTTGTCAGAGCACGAGCAGGGGGAGGGGCAGAGGAAGAAGATTCCCTGCTGAGCAAGGAGCCGGATGCGAGACTTGATCCCAGGACCCTGGGATCATTACCAGAGCCCAAGACAGATGCTTAACCGACTGAGCCACCCAGGCGTCCCGGAAGTTACTAGAAGTTTTAAGATATGGGGAGAATCTTACAATGAGGGAATGGTTATTTTGATCTCTGTAACAAAGCTAGGCCTTGGTACCATGTCCAGATTTTCCTAACCACGTGTTAAAAGCAGTTTTTCTGATTTATAACTTTAGTTTTTGGAAAAGTCTACACAGGTAGGAAATTTAAATCACTTTCCATTTAAGACATCATCTATTCTGAAAATAATAATAATGAACTGAGACTCGAAAAATCAAGACATGGGGGGAAGGGAGCTGGAGCCTGAAGGCAGGTGGACACAGTGCGCACAACCATCACAGATGCATTTAGGTTCTGATGACGGCTGGCGGCACTGGGTGGCCCGGTGTGTCGAGACTCTACTACTTTCTGCCTCCAAGGACAAAAATAACATGGCTGTTGCTTCACTGAGCAGTTAGGCTATTTCTACCCAACAGAGGAGGAGCAGGCCACCCAGCCTAAGGGCAGCACAGCTGCATGGGTAGCAGAGGCCACCTCTAAGCCCTGGTGGTAGAATCATAAATGCTGTTTATCAGTATTCTCGCCCGGAGCAGGGTTGAAGAGTATCCGGCACACACAGTAGGTGTAGTTAGGACGGCATCTGTAGCTCTTCAGAACTACAGCTGACATCTACTGAAGGCTTTCTACATGCCAAGCATTGTTCGAAGTACTTTACCATATATACAAATGAATCCACAAGACAACCATATAAAGATAACATTCTTATTTTACAGACGAAAATACTGAGGTTTAGAAAAAAGGGATACTGCTAGAAAGTGTACAGGGATATGTCCTGGGCAGCCTCAATCTTGGACTCGTGCTGTCTTAAACCTCAAGTTACACTAAAAAATACAAAATCTGATCACTGACCAGTGGTTCTTAAATTGGGCAGGATATGGGGCGCCTGGGTGGCTCAGTCAGTTAAGCGGCTGCCTTCGGCTCAGGTCATGATCCCGGGGTCCTGGGATCGAGCCCCGCGTCAGGCCCCCTGCTCAGTGGAGAGTCTGCTTCTCCCTCTCTCTCTGCCTACTTGTGCTCTCTCTCTGTCAAATAAATAAATAAAATCTTTAAAAAAAAAAAAATTGGGCAGGATATAAAATCCATTGTCATATATATACTTTGCTTTCACATCTTGGTGGTGTGAAAAAGTGGCCAGTTTACAGAAGGTTGGATTGAGCCTCAGATCGTCTTCCTGGCCACAAGAGCATAGCAACCATAGAGCATTTATTCATACATGGCTCTCTCCTCAGACAGCTCCCCACTAACACTGAGCATGAAAATCATTTCCAGTTTAAAAATGATGTGTTTCCACCATTTTAATGGACACATTTATCCAAAGGTCATGTGAAAGACAAAGGTCCAAGGCAGAGAGAAACCTACTTTAAAATTCTGATTTGGTAGGTCATATCTTCTTAGTGAATTTAGATACAGCAGAGAATCCTAACTAGGCTGTTCTCCAAGCTGGAGCAAAGGGAGCAAGGTATTAAGGAGGTCTTCAGACTATTCACATCCACTGAAAGCCAGCACTAAAAATTAAAAGAATGCATGATCACATAGTCTCAGTTGAACTCTAGTCCCTCTCAAGAACTGATGCAGACAGTGCGCTGACCTCTTCAGATCAACAGAAGAGAAATGCAAACACGTGTCCTGGCACCTGGGGTCACTCTGGCGCATCCCTTCCTCACTTGCCCAGAATGCCTCGGCGGGGGCTTCTCTCCTTGTTAAGAGATCCCGGGATAAAAAGCATCATCCAGTTTTGATTTTTTCATAAAAGAATTGAAAGAACACTGAAGCAGTTTATGCTGCAAATACCTGCTCACAAACCAGACTTCCAGAGTATCCCCAGAATCCAGCTCTATGGGCTGAAAGAAAATTTCTACTGTAATTTACTCTAAAATTATCAGTGGCGGCCACACCAAGAGTTGATACAACTCTATTCTTTCCTTTCCTCCCCTTTCCCCGCACCAGATGAGCTGTCTTGAGTGGGTTCAGATGGTTTAGCTATACATTCAGTATATAACTGTTCTATCCCACCCCTATCATACAGATGTTGGTGGATCAAGTGAGACGTGAAAGAAATCTCTCCATAAATGTAAAGTCTATGCAAATGTTGCTGTGCATGCTGACAGTGATGGTTCTAGAACTTGTTGTAATATAAGCAAGATCAAACGCAAGGCCAATGGATGATCATGAAGCTGTGGACCTAAGTGCAGTGGGAGCCTGCAATAACATTCAGCAATGAAGCTACTTGGTTGCTCCTCAGGGAGGGTCTGAAATGGACTACTGGGCTTGTGCAACATGTATTGAAAACAAAAACACATAACATACACTTTCCTGTTTACTTTTATGTACACACATACACCCATTCAACTGTTGTTCAATTCCTGACAGGACTACCCTTCAATGCACAGCCAAACTGATTCAATTTTTAAAAATTTCCCCTAACATACTCAGAAGAGAACACCTTGATGGATCTTTATCAACAAACAGGAAAAAGAGATCACAAAGCATCACCTGGATCAGCTCTTAAGCATCCTGTTCTCCTGTGATCTGAAACAATGCTGGGCCCAGGGAGGCGGATCATCTCCTACAGCCCAAGCTTACTGTCTCCACCAGGAATGCTACCAAAAGATGTTTCAAGTGACAACATCTACTTGGTTTTTTGTTTTTTTTAAATATTTTATTTATTTGACAAAAAGAGTGAGAGAGCACAAGCAGGGGAAGCAGTAGAGGGAGAGGGAGAAGCAGAATCCCCGCTGAGCAGGGAGCCTGACGTGGAACTTGATCCCAGGACCCTGGGATCGTGACCTGAGCCGAAGGCAGATGCTTAACCATCTGAGCCACCCAGGCGCCCCAACATCTATTTGTTCTTAAGGCAGACTGGGCAGCCTTCCATGAGATCATAGTGGGACCAAAACAGGTTTCAAAGTGTCCTCAAAGGTTTTCCTCTGTGTTTTAACGCTTATTTTTATGTAGTGTTTATTGTTGCTATGGGAAGTCTCTAAAAGAAAACTTCTGCTTAAAAATAAAAGCAAGGGTGGTCTTAACTACCCTGAATTCCTTAAAACAGATGTTCTGATCAAATTTAGAATGAAGTAACAATGGGTTTCTTGTCATGGCCTTCATATATTATCCTCTGTCTTACTCACATTTTCACATCATTTTCAGAAGAAAACACCTTCAGGGATTTGATATTGTAGTATGCAATCTTCAAAGCTTTATGTTGAAAATGAGAACTGTGTCCACCCAAGACTTGCTGTTGGCGAGCCCCACGGCCTCGGGACTGTTCTGTGCTACCCTCACAGGCAGGGGGCACTTCCTGCAAGGAGCCCTGTGACGGGGCACATGACTTCTTCCACAAATGACCTATCCCCGCACGTGCACCATCTAAGAGGAAGGAGTCTGGGCGCAGCCCATCAACAAACAAAAACAGGACACCAGACAGTGGGGAAGGGAAATGCCTAAGGAAAAGCTAAAACTGCTCTAAGGCATATAAATCCCAGGCCCTGAGAAAGAATAGCTTCTTAACCCCTCCAAGCCCCTAAAGAGGAAGGCCGCCACGTTAATTGGCAGGTCAGTAGAGTCTGGGGAAGGAGAGGAAAGCAGGGGAATGGTTTCTACAGCATTCCAACAGGTATTGCCTTAGGACTAGGGAAAAAGCTGACTGTCTCGAGCCTTCACATGCCATATGGAGCCACCTGATAACTGAATTTTTTGTTGTTGTCCTTTAGTGATTCCTGAGTGTGTTGCAAATTATGCTGCTAGCTTGGCTTACACAAAAGATGACAATTTAATAAGAAACATAAATGTTTGGCAATTTGCATTAAATCACCATCTGGTCCAACGGAAATCTTCATATTTAAAATGTATATATCATCATTTGCCATCTGTTTAATCTATTACATGTTTTATGGGGAATCTGAAGTTGGATTATTAACTCCTACCACTTTGAAACAAACATTTTTGTTCCAGGATAAAGAAAGGAGAAAGGCCTTGAACAAATCAGCATTTTTCATACTCAGATGAACCAAAAAAATTAGAAAAGATAAGGCAAGATAGCACCATCTCCTCTTAAATTAAGTAATTCTGTAAACCGAGCCTTTGGGAAAGTATCTGAAATGAAAGATAAAATGACTTCTATAATATATCCAACACATGTAAATGAGGCTTGCACCTCTCAACCCACTGCCCTGCCCCCCCTCTTCCATCCTTTGTCTTGAGGATGGGAAGGTGGTGGGAGGTTTGCTTCTAAAAATAAATTTCACCAATAAACTTAAAAAAAAAAAAATTAACTGCACAGATTACTAAGCTTGTAAACAGAAAATGAAAACTGCTACTCACTTTCAATTTTACTGTGTAAGCATGAAACCATGTCTCCAGCTACTCCTTCAAATCATGTATTTCCATTAAGAATAAGTCTTTTAAAGTTTATTCTGAGATCTCTCCTTCATTCAAATATTAATTATTGGCATTCAGAGTCTTAAGTTATTTTTTTCAGTAATTTTTTTCCCCATCCATGTCAGTCTTTAGATTATGCCCAGGTGGTTATATTATTCACCTGAAAATGAAATCTGGTTTAATATTTTTTCCATAGAAGGGGCGCCTGGGTGGCTCAGTTGTTATGCGCTGCCTTCAGCTCAGGTCATGTTCCCGGGGTCCTGGGATCGAGCCCCGCATCGGGCTCCCTGCTCAGCAGAGAGCCTGCTTGTCCCTCTCCCACTCCCCCTGCTTGTGTTCCCTCTTCGCTGTCTGTCAAATAAATAAATAAAATCTTTAAAAAATATATTTTTTTTTCCACAGAAGCTGCTCCAATATTTTTGAGCAAAGCCCAATGGAACATGATATCCTACCCCGCTGTCTGACACGAAGGGCCATAGCTGGCTACAACAGAACCGAGGGCATGCTCAAATTCTGAAGAACTGATAAAACAACAAATCTCTCCTTGATTCTCTCCTTGTGACTGCAGACAGGGCTGTTTGACCTCAGTGTGGATAGCCGAGCCATGTGGTGAGTCCACGCCCAGTGAATTTCAGTGAACCTTAGGTAAAGTAGGTAGAGGAGTTAGATCCAGTGCTCCTGAAGGTTCTGCAACTGCAGTCATCTCACTGATGACTATTACATTTCATAAATATTTATCTGCCCATTTACTTCCCTTAGCTTCTCTCCCATGGCGTCATTACAAGAAAATACACAACAGGGACGCCTGGGTGGCTCAGTCGTTAAGCATCTGCCTTCAGCTCAGGTCATGATCCCAGGGTCCTGGGATCGAGCCCCACATCGGGCTCCTTGCTCAGCAGGGAGTCTGCTTCTCCCTCTCCCTCTGCCTGCAGCTTCCCCTGCTCGTGCTCTCTGACAAATAAATTAAAAGGAAAAAAAAAGAAAAGAAGATACACAAGACAATGCCAATTGTTTTTTCAGTGAGCATTCTAGAGAAGGCAGATAACAGGTTATTCTTGCACTTTTGGTTCTGCACTGATGTGCTAATGTCTAAATATAGTTGCTACAGTAACTGTGAAGTAGTAAGAGTCACAAAGTTTGTGTATGTATATACATATGTAAAACCACAGAATGTTAGGCGTGGAAAGGGCCTCTTAGCTGTCTAGGCCAAGTATAAATGTCACCGAGTTAACTTCTGTGTAACTACAGCTCCATTTTTAAAAATAACTGGCCTAGCAAAAAGTTCTGTCGGCAGAGACTCCTAGTAGATAGTAATAGTTACCACTAGTCCAGGTTTTCCTTTTAGAGAAATCTTTCTAAGGATTATTTCTCCAATCTTCAACAATCAGCGATTTCTTTTTTTTTTTTTTTAAGATTTTATTTATTTGCGAGAGAATGAGAGAGAGCA